GTCGACGCAACGTTGATACATATTTCGTATCCAAATATCAGAGATATTTGGATATTTCCGCCTTCGGCGACGCGCGCTTCGCGCGCGAAAAGTGGCATGCAACGTATATCAAACGCGACGTTCCCTGGGGACCCAGGCTAATTATGTTCATTAACATATAGAGATTAGGCGGCATGACAGGCTGAGCGCGGCCCAGTAAACGCGACGGTATTCGATATTTGAAACAACTATTTTACAAGTATCACCCGTTATCACTTTGTATCACGTTGCGACCCCCACGGTCGTTTCACTATGTGGGGGTCTTCGACGCTACAGGGGGAGCCGCGCACTTCGTGCGCGGCGGGTCATACAACGTATGACAATTATCACTTGTATCACGTTGCGACCCCCACGGTCGTTTCACTCCTGACGATACAGGGGGTGCCGCGCACTTCGTGCGCGGCGGGTCATACAACGTATGACAAGTTATCACCCGTTAATAATAATACCTTTTTGGAGTATAAATTTAAGTTTGACATGTAACTTGTATCACGTTGCGACCCCCACGGTCGTTTCACTATGTAGCGTCTTCGACGCTACAGGGGGAGCCGCGCACTTCGTGCGCGGCGGGTCATACAACGTATGACAACATGTAACTACACACATGTTAAACTACATAGCAGGTAAACCACAAATTTTGGCACTCAACATTTAAATCTCAGCAACGCAAAGTTACATCATTTTGTAATTTTTCTCATTTGTTCATCACCAGCAGCTCTATCACATAATTGTTTGCTCTATCCAGAGCCCTTGCGCTTGCAGTAGCGCGCGCCCGCCTCTTGACTTGTGAAACAAGCGCGCCCGCAGGGGCGCGAAAGCACATGGTTAGGTGAACATAATTGTCATACGTTGTATGACCCGCCGCGCACGAGTGCGCGGCTCCCCTGTATCGTAGAAACTCTACTATTACTCTACTATATCATATATAGTGAAACAACGATGAGGGTCACGACGTGATACAATCACATAATATCTTTATTGTTTTAACTAGACATTTATTTGACATTTTCTTAAATGTTTAAGCCTGAAAAATACTGTTAAAATTATGTTTATGTATTATATACTGTTTAGTTAGGGTGCCCAAATCTTCACAGACATTTAAAGACCTTTAATTTTTTAGAATGTAGTGCCATTCGATCTTAAACACAGATTTGAAAGTCACATTAATCAAGTTTTTATTTTAAAAGTAACATAGGGGTGTATTAAAAACCTATCGAATTGTGAATCATGCCTATTTACCTCTTTCGACTTGAATGTGATCAATAATGCCTCTTCAAATGCTTTTCCCCAAAGTTTATCAAATTGACCGTAGCCAATAGGTTCAAGTGATGTTCCCTGAACCAGTTGTGAATTGTATCCTGCTTAATGAAAGACTTAAGCCCGTTACAAATGTTGTAAATAAATGTGCTGGTAAGTTAAAGTCTAATGGTTCTTTAAATAATAATTTTAAATGGTTATAATGTGAGCACTAATGGGTGTAGTATTTTTAACGATCCTCAATTCGACCAAAAATTTCATTTTTTAGGCTTTAGTTGAGAGGTTTCTGCTCAATAAAGCTTTATATGTAATATGTATATCGTATAATTAGCATGAAGTTGAAAATATTTGGTATTTTGAAATTTGTATTTGTTAAGATGTGTTATCCCATCTTAGAAGTATACCTTGTTGTGTAGTCGAAGTTGTAGTTGCTCTGCTGAAATGCTAATTTAATAACAACTCTTTTTTTTCTGACTCTAGAGTCTAGATAACTCACCTGCCTGATACCCTACCTTTTGCTTTCACACAGTACATCAATAATAAGATGCTCTTAAATGTTTTTCAATTGATCGCACGATTACTAAGTTGTTATACAATATGATGGCAGGTAAACCTGTTCATCCTTTAATTTATCTGTCACCAAATAAAATTAGGTTATTTCTTATTTTTCTTTCATTTTTGTTCACATTTTTTGCTTTTGTTATTTTTTAAATTGCTCCAAAAAATTAAGTCTAGACCTTAGGCAATGAAAGTGAAAATCAAGCGATGGACAACAGTAGCTGCATGGCACTGGGTTGCTAATGATGACTCCTGTGGGATATGTCGAACTCTATTTGATGGATGTTGCACAGATTGCACTTTACCAGGGGACAACTGTCCCATTGTTTGGGGGGAGTGTTCACATTGTTTCCACATGCACTGTATCATTAAGTGGATATCTTCAAACACAAACAAGCAGCAATGTCCCATGTGTAGGCGGGACTGGGCATTTAAAGAAAGTGATAACAATCCGCCCATCACCCAACAACAGACTCCCACTCAGAGCAATGATAGTTAGTTTCCTGGTAAGTTTAGATTTTGAAAACACAACATTTAATTGCATATACAGTATAACCTTAACTCACCATTTGGGTTGAATGAATATTGTACAACAAATTAGGTTCCAGCCAGATCACATGCACGGTAATGATTTCCAATCAGGCATTATGACAAATGAGCACTTGGTTAAGAGATAAATAGGGAAAGTATCGCGCCAGAAATAAATAAATAAATAAATAAATAAAGTCAATTTTTACAGCACAGCAATATATATCTAAATATCAGATCCTCTGTAATCATAATGTATAAAAAAAGGAGCTTTTCTCTGTGCTGAAGGATGAATCAAGGCAGATCATGGTTCTGTTAGCAGGCCACCCTAGTTATGGACAATACATATATATAAAATAATTAAATTATAATTTTAAAATTGTGTCAAGATTGAACTAAAACATAACTCAGGGTAAAATAGAACGACTTACATCATGGTCTCATTTTTATAATTCAATTATTTTACAAGCTATATGTATGTTATGATCATTACTTGGTCATTCAAGGAAAATCCAGTAAAAACAGAAAGCTGAAATTTGGAAATGTCCTATCGGTAGGACATTTGCAAAATGTTCATTCCATCAAAGTTTTTTCCTGGATGTACACCTTCCAGGACCTTGATGGCCACTTGTGTCACTGTCAACGGCCTCACTGATTGGTTAACAGCAGAAAAGCTTCTCTTCTTAAATCTTCCAAAATCTCTTCTTATATTCTGATGATTTTCCATTTATCAAAGCTTTCTTAGGGAATAACACTTTGAGTACCCCAATCGTGTCTTGTGCCATCTTAAGTGACCTTGGTAGATGGTCATTCAAGAAAAATTCAGTCAAAACAGTGAAATTTGAATTGCAGAAAGCTAAAATTTGAAAATGTCCTACCTATTAGGACATTTTCAAAATGTTCATTCCATCAAAGTTGTTTCCAGATATACAGCTTTCAGTACCTTGATGGCGACTTGTGTCACTGTCACCCACCTCACTGATTGGTCGATGGTCAAAAATTCAGTCAAGGAGATGGCAGAAAAGCTTCTCTTCAAAAATCTTCCAATATCTCTTCTTACATTCTGATGATTTTCCGTTTATCAAAGCTTTCTTTGGGAATAGAACTTTCAGAACCTCAATCGTGTGTTGTACTTTCTACAGTGAACTCATTAAATTGTGTTAATAATAGACAATTTTTTTAAAACGTTTTTAAAAACGTTGGAGGAATGGCAAGTGGTGAGATTATCATTCACACCACCACCTTATTTGACATTTCATTTGTAATAACACCATGTGTGTTGGTGGTGTTTGTTTTAGTTGTCAACTAGCAATGTAATGGGGCTAGGTGGCCTAGTGGCTAGAGCATCCGCCTTCTGTGCAGAAGTTTCAGAGTTCGAATCCCAGGATCTATGCAATTTCCTCAGTCGACTTAGCCGAATGATAAGAAACTTAATTGAGGGATAAATGAGGAGGGGTACCTGTTAAAAGTTCAAGAAACTTCATAGGATACCCCTTAAGTGCATACTGCAACTGTAAACATAGTACTATAAACTATTACTATATGTAATGAGGATGATGACTAATCTCATCACTATTAAATATGTAATCTATGTATCACTACACCCTGTAGTAGACATCAGATGACAGATCTCATTAAAGCTTATCGGAAAGATGGAAATGACAATGTAAACACACTACACATCACATGCATGATATCGATTGGATCCTGACCTAGAACTTTTTCAGCCTAACCCATGCAAATTTTACCTTTCAAAAATTGAATTTACTTAAAAATCGTTGAAACTACAGCAAAATATTTTCTTAGCTTAAATCAGTAAATCAATTTTTAACAGAAAATATTTATTTCAGAGTGCTGCAAAAGTTGCCATATAATCTACTCTACATCATTAGATTACGTTGATGCGCTGCTAAGTGACGATTCTAAGCTTTGTCTAGTTGAGTCTCAGGAAAGATTAGTTCAACTACTCTCAGCACCACTCAACCATCACCAGCTTTCAGTCTACATCATTAAGACATTGTATAATGACAAGGGAGTGAAGGATAGTTTGGCTACTATTTATACAAAGTTCCTTTCAGTAATTCAGATAGTTTCTTTAGCACAGTTTGGTGAAATAACAGCTAAATGTGCCCTGCAGCTAAAGGATGTTTCTAAACGACACCACAACGGAGCAATAGCTTCTCCGAACACTAATAATTGTGCTGACATTACTAAAACCCTGCAGACTGTCCCGGGACTTGGTCCCAAACAGGCCAGAAAGCTACTGGCACACTTTGGCAGCTTATTTAATGTAGTGAATGCGAGTTTAGTTGATTTAGAAGGAGTTGTTAGCCAGACTCTTGCTATGACAGTTTATCAATTCCTTCATTGATTTAAACTGCAACGTATGGAAGTGTGTTATAAGATAGTTGCTCAAGTCACATAACAATTATGCCTTATATTTGTGTTGCTAAATTAAGCCTTTTAATGATGCTGTTTTTAAAATAGCTCATTAATCTTACTATATATATATATATAAAGCGAGACGATATATATATATTTTGTAGCTGTACTCCTACACATTAAAAGTCGGTGTTGATTAGATCTTCGAAATAAGTCTTTGCATCATTTTATTAAACATCGTTATCTCAAATTATTTGTTATATAGTAGTGTTGAAAGTATTAAAACTCCTATATATATATTTATCTGTGCCATTTTACTGACACCACGGCATCAACTTTAACACAACTTTCCTCAAAAACCGTAAAAGATAGTTAAATTAACTAGCAGGAACCCGTTTAACCCTAAAGTGGTGTCAAGACTCAAGAGACTAAAATAATTATTACCTATTTAATTCGCGTTTTTGACACCACTTGGGGGTCCAAATTTTGGGCTCTAAAACTCCTATTTCGTGGCCAATTTTTTATTTTTTCATGCTGATTTGAAGGCCATTAAAGCATTTGACCCAGTCAAACATCGTTATCTCAAATTATTTGTTATATAGTAGTGTTGAAAGTATTAAAACTCCTATATATATATTTATCTGTGCCATTTTACTGACACCACGGCATCAACTTTAACACAACTTTCCTCAAAAACCGTAAAAGATAGTTAAATTAACTAGCAGGAACCCGTTTAACCCTAAAGTGGTGTCAAGACTCAAGAGACTAAAATAATTATTACCTATTTAATTCGCGTTTTTGACACCACTTGGGGGTCCAAATTTTGGGCTCTAAAACTCCTATTTCGTGGCCAATTTTTTATTTTTTCATGCTGATTTGAAGGCCATTAAAGCATTTGACCCAGTCAAAAAAGTTTCAGTTGTATATCTTTTACGGTTTTTGCGGAAAGTCGTGTTAAAGTTGATGCCGTGGTGTCAGTAAAATGGCACGGATAAATAAATATATATATATATCGTCTCGCTTTTTTCTTGTTTTTCCCTTCATCTTATAATTGTATTATTGTTAAGGCTCTGTTAATGTTTTGTAACCTTTAATCATACAAATACTTTTTTCCCTTTTTTTGTGTTCAGGGAGCAGGCTTGCCACATAGGTCCGGTAGTTCCGAACGTTTAGGCAGGGTGCTAGGTTGTGGTACACACTCAACTAGGTAGTTTGAGAGTCCGAAAATCTCCAAAAGGAGATGTCATCAGAGTGTGATCCACTGCCTGACTAACCTTTGGATAGAGTTTGCTAGACTCTATAATTATGGCAGGTAGTATCTTCTGTGTGTTGTTGAGATCCTGAGTATCCATTGACCAGGGTACCAATTACCGTCTTTTGGTGTAGGTAGTAAAGGGTCAAGGGTGGTGGGTAGTAGGAGGGTCATCAAATCAGAAAAGGCAGACATGAGTTGATAGCAAGTGTACTTGTAACTGTCCATCCTCAATCTGGTATCCCTATACGTTGTCTCAGTCTAGCTAATGTCCGTCATTCTTTCATATCTCCTGCTGAAATTATCCCGTCTCCGATGTTGGGGATTGATCCAGTAGCGGTCTTGTAGTCGTCTTTAACACAGTCGAGCCAAGACTTTAGAGGTCTATCACTGGATCTTTTTCCATGTGCTGGTTTCCACTGCAGTAATTTATTGGGCAGCCGTTCTTAAGGCATTCCTGTCACGTGTCCAAACCACTGTACTCTGTTGCTAGAGATGAAGGTTGCAACATCTGTTTTAGCAGCACGCTGTAGCTAAATTTATGAAGAGCTAAAAACTATAAACGACTAACCAGTAACCATGCCTCAAGATATAACAAAATGCGAGGGTCTCATTATCCAAGTGTGCTGCAAATTAAACAGTAAAAACAATAATAGATATAAGGAATAAATACCTTGACTGGAATAGTGAATGTCTCTGAATAAGGAGAGACAATAAATACACGATACTGTGCACTGTGCCCACAGAGTGCACTGTGCACACAGAGTGCACTGTGCACACAGAGTGCACTGTGCACACAGAGTGCACTGGTTGTGTTAATAACACGCCCAATTTAATGTTTTGAAGAAGTATCTCGTTCATTCTTCAAATGACATATTATTATTTTCTTAACCCGACCACTATTTTAGCTAAGAACAGCTCAGAATATTCGCAGTTCCATTTCACATACCTCTCAAGTGAGTCATTTGAAATATTATCATTATATATTAGCACAGTCCTGAGATTTATTAAATTATCGTTACAATGACACAAAATATATTACAAAGCACCATGATTTAAAGTAAAATACAGCGTAACTTTTACTGTACCACTAATAATTCATCAACAAGTGAGATATCACTTCAAACACAAGAAAATATCCCAAATCGGTGGTAGGCAGTGGCACATAGAAAATCGCCCCAATGTTTTTGATCAGATTATTAGGATTATAGCCATCTACCTATATGGAAAGTTTAAAGAAAATCGTATAGTAGGATCAAAAATAGGAACAACCTCAATGTGCGAGTTTGGGCGAATTTCTATGTGCCAAACTTGAGATATCACTTCAAACACAAGAAAATATCTAGAAATCGGTAAAATATTTGGCACAGAAATTTGCCCAAACTTGCACAGGTTGTTCCTATTATAGTAATATCCTAAACTATAAGAAAATTTATCAACACGATCTCGTAATAAATGCCTTGGTACCACTCGAAACCACCAATTTGGAGATATTTTCTTGTGTTTGAATACCTTGACTTGACTTGGGGGTGGGTTTTGGAAAATTCCGCCATATTTTTCCCGGTCATTAATTTTCCCAGTCATAAATTAACCCGCTTTAATGTTCCCGACTAAGGTAAACTAATAGTAATACATTTTGATGCTTGGTGGGTTTTGGAAAATTCCGCCATATTTTTCCCGGTCATTAATTTTCCCAGTCATAAATTAACCCGCTATAATATTCCAGAGTAAGGTAAACTAATAGTAATACATTTTGATGCTTGGTGGGTTTTGGAAAATTCCGCCATATTTTTCCCGGTCATTAATTTTCCCAGTCATAAATTAACCCGCTATAATATTCCAGAGTAAGGTATGAGTTGGACTTTCTGTTCCGTATGTTCCGCGGAACAATATTTGACGAAAGTCGATTATCTTGAGATCCTACTGATAAATTTTCTTTAAACTTTTCAGATAGTTGTATGGCTATGAGACGGATATTCTGTGCGATTTTGGGCGAATTTCTATGTGCCAAACCTGAGATATGACTTCAAACACAAGAAAATATCTCAAAATGGCGGTTTCTAGCGGAACGCAGGCACATATTTCGAGATCCTACTGATAAATTTTCTTTAAACTTTCCAGATAGTTGTATGGCTGTGAGACGGATATTCTGTGCGATTTTGGGCGAATTTCTATGTGCCAAACCTGAGATATGACTTCAAACACAAGAAAATATCTCAAATTGGCGCGTTCTAGCGGAACGCAGGCACATATTTCGAGATCCTACTGATAAATTTTCTTTAAACTTTCCAGATAGTTGTATGGCTGTGAGACGGATATTATGTGCGATTTTGGGCGAATTTCTATGTGCCAAACCTGAGATATGACTTCAAACACAAGAAAATATCTCAAATTGGCGGTTTCTAGCGGAACGCAGGCACATATTTCGAGATCCTACTGATAAATTTTCTTCAAATTTTCCAGATAGTTGTATGGCTATGAGACGGATATTCTGTGCGATTTTGGGCGAATTTCTATGTGCCAAACCTGAGATATGACTTCAAACACAAGAAAATATCTCAAAATGGCGGTTTCTAGCGGAACGCAAGGCACATATTTCGAGATCCTACTGATAAATTTTCTTTAAACTTTCCAGATAGTTGTATGACTGTGAGACGATAATCTGAGCAAGTTTGGGCGAATTTCTATGTGCCAAAATTGAGATATGACTTCAAACTCATGAAAACATCTCAAATTGGCGGTTTCGGAACGATATTTGACGAAAGTCGATTATTTCGAGATCCTACTGATAAATTTTCTTCAAATTTTCCAGATAGTTGTATGGCTATGAGACGGATATTATGTGCAATTTTGGGCGAATTTCTATGTGCCAAACCTGAGATATGACTTCAAACACAAGAAAATATCTCAAATTGGCGCGTTCTAGCGGAACGCAGGCACATATTTCGAGATCCTACTGATAAATTTTCTTTAAACTTTCCAGATAGTTGTATGGCTATGAGACGGATATTCTGTGCGATTTTGGGCGAATTTCTATGTGCCAAACCTGAGATATGACTTCAAACACAAGAAAATATCTCAAAATGGCGGTTTCTAGCGGAACGCAGGCACATATTTCGAGATCCTACTGATAAATTTTCTTTAAACTTTCCAGATAGTTGTATGGCTATGAGACGGATATTCTGTGCGATTTTGGGCGAATTTCTATGTGCCAAACCTGAGATATGACTTCAAACACAAGAAAATATCTCAAAATGGCGGTTTCTAGCGGAACGCAGGCACATATTTCGAGATCCTACTGATAAATTTTCTTTAAACTTTCCAGATAGTTGTATGGCTATGAGACGGATATTATGTGCAATTTTGGGCGAATTTCTATGTGCCAAACCTGAGATATGACTTCAAACACAAGAAAATATCTCAAATTGGCGCGTTCTAGCGGAACGCAGGCACATATTTCGAGATCCTACTGATAAATTTTCTTTAAACTTTCCAGATAGTTGTATGGCTATGAGACGGATATTATGTGCGATTTTGGGCGAATTTCTATGTGCCAAACCTGAGATATGACTTCAAACACAAGAAAATATCTCAAAATGGCGGTTTCTAGCGGAACGCAGGCACATATTTCGAGATCCTACTGATAAATTTTCTTTAAACTTTCCAGATAGTTGTATGGCTATGAGACGGATATTCTGTGCGATTTTGGGCGAATTTCTATGTGCCAAACCTGAGATATGACTTCAAACACAAGAAAATATCTCAAATTGGCGCGTTCTAGCGGAACGCAGGCACATATTTCGAGATCCTACTGATAAATTTTCTTTAAACTTTCCAGATAGTTGTATGGCTGTGAGACGGATATTATGTGCGATTTTGGGCGAATTTCTATGTGCCAAACCTGAGATATGACTTCAAACACAAGAAAATATCTCAAATTGGCGCGTTCTAGCGGAACGCAGGCACATATTTCGAGATCCTACTGATAAATTTTCTTCAAACTTTCCAGATAGTTGTATGGCTATGAGACGGATATTCTGTGCGATTTTGGGCGAATTTCTATGTGCCAAACCTGAGATATGACTTCAAACACAAGAAAATATCTCAAAATGGCGGTTTCTAGCGGAACGCAAGCACATATTTCGAGATCCTACTGATAAATTTTCTTTAAACTTTCCAGATAGTTGTATGACTGTGAGACGGATAATCTGAGCAAGTTTGGGCGAATTTCTATGTGCCAAAATTGAGATATGACTTCAAACTCATGAAAACATCTCAAATTGGCGGTTTCGGAACGATATTTGACGAAAGTCGATTATTTCGAGATCCTACTGATAAATTTTCTTCAAATTTTCCAGATAGTTGTATGGCTATGAGACGGATATTATGTGCAATTTTGGGCGAATTTCTATGTGCCAAACCTGAGATATGACTTCAAACACAAGAAAATATCTCAAATTGGCGCGTTCTAGCGGAACGCAGGCACATATTTCGAGATCCTACTGATAAATTTTCTTTAAACTTTCCAGATAGTTGTATGGCTATGAGACGGATATTCTGTGCGATTTTGGGCGAATTTCTATGTGCCAAACCTGAGATATGACTTCAAACACAAGAAAATATCTCAATTTGGAGATATTTTCTTGTGTTTGAAGTCATATCTCAAGTTTGGAACATAGAAATTCGCCCAAACTTGCTCAGATCATCTGTCTCATAGCCATACAACTATCTGGAAAGTTTAAAGAAAATTTGTCAGTAGGATCTCGAAATATGTGCCTGCGTTCCGCTAGAACGCGCCAATTTGAGATATTTTCTTGTGTTTGAAGTCATATCTCAAGTTTGGCACATAGAAATTCGCCCAAACTTGCTCAGATTATCCGTCTTATAGCCATGAAACTATCTGGAAAGTTTAAAGAAAATTTATCAGTAGGATCTCGAAATATGTGCCTGCGTTCTGCTAGAACGCGCCAATTTGAGATATTTTCTTGTGTTTGAAGTCATATCTCGAGTTTGGCACATAGAAATTCGCCCAAACTTGCTCAGATTATACGTCTCATAGCCATACAACTATCTGGAAAGTTTAAAGAAAATTTATCAGTAGGATCTCGAAATATGTGCCTGTGTTCCGCTAGAACCCGCCAATTTGGAGATATTCTCTTGTGTTTGAAGTCATATCTCAAGTTTGGCACATAGAAATTCGCCCAAACTTGCTCAGATTGTCCGTCTCATAGCCATACAACTATCTGGAAAGTTTAAAGAAAATTTATCAGTAGGATCTCGAAATATGTGCCTGTGTTCCGCTAGAACCCGCCAATTTGGAGATATTCTCTTGTGTTTGAAGTCATATCTCAAGTTTACCACATAGAAACTCACCCAAAATCGCACAGATCATCCGTCTGATAGCCATACAACTATCTGGAAAGTTTAAAGAAAATCTATCATTCAGATCTCTAAATATATACCTGTGTTCCGCTAGAACCCGCCAATTTGGAGATATTCTCTTGTGTTTGAAGTCATATCTAAAGTTTGGCACATAGAAATTCGCCCAAACTTGCTCAGATTATCCGTCTCATAGCCATACAACTATCTGGAAAGTTTAAAGAAAATTTATCAGTAGGATCTCGAAATATGTGCCTGTGTTCCGCTAGAACCCGCCAATTTGGAGATATTCTCTTGTGTTTGAAGTCATATCTCAAGTTTACCACATAGAAAGATAGAAACTCACCCAAAATCGCACAGATTATCCGTCTGATAGCCATACAACTATCTGGAAAGTTTAAAGAAAATTTATCAGTAGGATCTCGAAATATGTGCCTGCGTTCCGCTAGAAACCGCCATTTTGAGATATTTTCTTGTGTTTGAAGTCATATCTCAGGTTTGGCACATAGAAATTCACCCAAAATCGCACAGATCATCCGTCTGATAGCCATACAACTATCTGGAAAGTTTAAAGAAAATCTATCATTCAGATCTCTAAATATATACCTGTGTTCCGCTAGAACCCGCCAATTTGGAGATATTCTCTTGTGTTTGAAGTCATATCTAAAGTTTGGCACATAGAAATTCGCCCAAACTTGCTCAGATTATCCGTCTCATAGCCATACAACTATCTGGAAAGTTTAAAGAAAATTTATCAGTAGGATCTCGAAATATGTGCCTGTGTTCCGCTAGAACCCGCCAATTTGGAGATATTCTCTTGTGTTTGAAGTCATATCTCAAGTTTACCACATAGAAAGATAGAAACTCACCCAAAATCGCACAGATTATCCGTCTGATAGCCATACAACTATCTGGAAAGTTTAAAGAAAATCTATCATTCAGATCTCTAAATATATACCTGTGTTCCGCTAGAACCCGCCAATTTGGAGATATTTTCTTGTGGTTGAAGTCATATCTCCATTTTGGGGGGGGGTGTCACGTCCGTCTATGTCCGCTTGTCTCATAGAATCCAAAAAGGACAGGACATAGGCGGACATAGGCGGACATAGACGGACATAGGCGGACATAGGCGGACATAGACGGACATAGGCGGACATAGGCGGACATAGGCGGACATTAATGGACACCTAAATTGCTAAATAAAATGTTCAATTTTTGCTGTTATAGGGGGATCATGTTTTTTGTCCGTTCGGTACCCTATATTTTCAAAACGGACAAAAAATAGAGCGGACAAAAACGGACAAAAATGGACAAAAACGGACAAAAATGGAAATAACATTAAGATGCTTCCTCCTCCTACTCTTCCTCCTCCCCCTGGGTCTTCCTGATCGTTCTCAGTCCTCTTCCTCCTCCCCTCCTCAGTCCTCCTCCTCCTCCTCGTCCTCAGTCCTCTCATCAGTCCTCAACAGTCCTCCTCCTCCCCAGTCCTCCTCCTCCTCCTGAGCTCCCTCCTGGGTCCTCCTCCTCCTCTTCATCCTCCTCCTCTTCCTCCTCAGTCCTCAGTCCTCAGTCCTCCTCCTCATCCTTCTCCTCAGTCCTCCATCCTCCTCCTCAGTCCTCCCCCAGTCCCCCTCCTCCTCCTCCTATTCAGTCCTCCTCCTCCTCCTCCTCCTCCTTCTCAGTCCTCCTCAGTCCTCCTCCTCCTCCTCCTCCTCCTCCTCTTCCCTCTCATTCATCCTCCTCAGCCATCCTCCTCAGTCCTCCTCAGTCCTCCTCAGTCCTCCTCCTCAGTCCTCCTCCTCCTGGGTCCTCCTCCTCCTCTTCATCCTCCTCCTGTTCCTCCTCGGTCCTCAGTCCTCCTCCTCCTGGGTCCTCCTCCTCATCCTTCTCATCAGTCCTCCTCCTCCCCAGTCCTCTCCCAGTCCCCTCCTTCTCCTCCTATTCAGTCCTCCTCCTCCTCCTCAGTTCTCCTCAGTCCTCCTTCTCATTTCTCCTAAGTCCTCCTCCTGAGTCCTCCTCCTGAGTCCTCCTCCTGAGTCCTCCTCCTCCCTCTCAGTCATCCTCCTCAGTCATCCTCCTCAGCCATCCTCCCCAGCCATCCTCCTCAGCCATCCTCCTCAGTACTCCTCAGTCCTCCTCCTTCTCAGTCATCGTCAGTCCTCCTCCTCAGTCCTCCTCAGTCCTCCTCCTCCTCCTGGGTCCTCCTCCTCCTCCTGGGTCCTCCTGGGTCTTCCTGATCCTCCCCAGTCCTCTTCCTTCTCCCCTCCTCAGTCCTCCTCCTACTCTTCCTCCTCGTCCTCAGTCCTCCTCATCAGTCCTCTACAGTTATCCTCCTCCCCAGTCCTCCTCCTCCTCCTGGGGCCTTTTCCTGGGTCCTCCTGGGTCCTCCTCCTCCTGGGTCCTCCTCCTCCTGGGTCCTCCTTCTCCTCCTCAGTCCTTCTCCTCCTCCTCCTCAGTCCTCTTCCTCCTCTTCCTCCTCCTCCTCCCTCTCAGTCATCCTCCTCATCCTTCTCCTCAGTCCTCCATCCTCCTCCTCAGTCCTCCCCCAGTCCCCCTCCTCCTCCTCCTATTCAGTCCTCCTCCTCCTCCTCCTCCTTCTCAGTCCTCCTCAGTCCTCCTCCTCCTCCTCCTCCTCTTCCCTCTCAGTCATCCTCCTCAGCCATCCTCCTCAGTCCTCCTCCTCAGTCCTCCTCCTCAGTCCTCCTCCTCCTGGGTCCTCCTCCTCCTCTTCATCCTCCTCCTGTTCCTCCTCGGTCCTCAGTCCTCCTCCTCCTGGGTCCTCCTCCTCATCCTTCTCATCAGTCCTCCTCCTCCCCAGTCCCCTCCTTCTCCTCCTATTCAGTCCTCCTCCTCCTCCTCCTCCTCAGTTCTCCTCAGTCCTCCTTCTCATTTCTCCTAAGTCCTCCTCCTGAGTCCTCCTCCTCCCTCTCAGTCATCCTCCTCAGTCATCCTCCTCAGCCATCCTCCCCAGCCATCCTCCTCAGCCATCCTCCTCAGTACTCCTCAGTCCTCCTCCTTCTCAGTCATCGTCAGTCCTCCTCCTCAGTCCTCCTCAGTCCTCCTCCTCCTCCTGGGTTCTCCTCCTCCTCCTCCTCCTGGGTCCTCCTGGGTCTTCCTGATCCTCCCCAGTCCTCTTCCTTCTCCCCTCCTCAGTCCTCCTCCTACTCTTCCTCCTCGTCCTCAGTCCTCCTCATCAGTCCTCAACAGTTCTCCTCCTCCCCAGTCCTCCTCCTCCTCCTGGGGCCTTCTCCTGGGTCCTCCTCCTCCTGGGTCCTACTCCTCCTGGGTCCTCCTTCTCCTCCTCAGTCCTTCTCCTCCTCCTCCTCAGTCCTCTTCCTCCTCTTCCTCCTCCTCCTCCCTCTCAGTCATCCTCCTCAGCCATCCTCCCCAGTCCTCCTTCTCAGTCCTCCTCAGTCCTCCTCCTGAGTCCTCCTCCTCCTCAGTCATCCTCCTCAGTTCTCCTCCTCCTCCTAGGTCCTCCTTCTGGGTCCTCCTCCTCCTCCTCCTCCTGGGTCTTCCTGATCCTTCTCCTCCCTCTCAGTCATCCTCCTCAGTCATCCTCCTCAGTCATCCTCCTCAGCCATCCTCCTCAGCCATCCTTCTCAGCCATCCTCCTCAGTACTCTTCAGTACTCTTCAGTACTCTTCAGTCCTCAAAATGTTTGTCCGCTAATGTCCACCAATGTCCGCTAATGTCCACCAATGTCCATCCAAGTCCGCCAATGTCCGTCCGGGTCCGCCAATGTCCGTCCGAGTCCGCCAATGTCCGTCCGAGTCCGCCAATGTCCGTCCGTGTCCGCCAATGTCCCAAAAAACACGTCCGTTGTCTCATAGAATCCAAAAAGGACAGGACATAGGCGGACATAGACGGACATGACACCCCCCCCCATTTTGGCATATAGAAATTCTCCCAAACTCTTACACATTATCTGTCATATAGCCATCTAACTATCTGGAAAGTTTAAAGAAAATCTATCAGTCAGATCTTGAGAAAATCAAAATTATATTCTAAGATATTCACTAAAACACTCGATTTTCGATCTTTTTATTTGGAACAGATTTGTCGAAAGTCCTTCTGAAGGTATATATTTATATACTGTTCGTGGCCGCCGCGATAACATTCGTGTAAGGCAAGTGCTTTTCCGCGCGCACGCTTATTTAAATGATGTACGTACGTACGTACGTATCTACGTACGATATATACATATTTCACGAAGGAGCGTTTGCACGAACGATATTATATTAAATATCATTATATTACATATATCTACATTCTACAGATGTATTTTACTTGAAATAATCAGCTACTAATTGTTACAGGAGACATGTCTGTGGAAACCCTTGGAAAAAGCAGAACAGAACAGTTGAGGTTTTGGGCGGGGAACAAAGTCAAAGATTTGCTCGGCTATTCTGAAGACACTGTAGTAACAGCTGCTATCGCATGTCTCGGTAAATAATTACACTTCAGTTTAATGACTGCAACTGTAATTAAACCTAGTATACCTCTTGTATTGGTAGTGTTCTTTTCTCACGCGTTATATTTCAGGTCGTAGACTGACTGAGGGGCAGACGAAGGAGCAGCTCAACCCTTTGTTAGAGGAGGAAACTGGGAAATTTGTGGAGGAGCTCTATCTCAGACATCAGCAGGTACTTGACAGATAAGGGAGATTATGGTCAGTGAGAATGTGAGATGTGGTTAAATAGGGTCTCAGTGCTGTGATCAGAAGATGATTTGTATTTTTGGGTGACATTTCGCGAATAGATTAACACAGAAAATTTCAGCTTCTCGAAGACAAGAAGTACGACACGAAGGAAATAGCTACAATTCAACAACAGCCAAAAATAAAAAAACGAGGTAGGTTTGTGTGAGGTGGTATTATATGTTAGAAATTGTGTGAGATATTTCACTGTAACAAAGCAAAGATTGCTCGTCATTTAGTTACGCAGCAATTCGTAGCTTAAATATGTTAATTGCTGAAGGTATCTGCTCTCGTAATAGTTAGACGGTGGGAGCTGGTTGCTATGAGGAGAGAGCTGGTTGCTATGAGGAGAGAGCTGGTTGCTATGAGGAGGGAGCTGGTTGCTATGAGGAGGGAGCTGGTTGCTATGAGGAGGGAGCTGGTTGCTATGAGGAGGGAGCTGGTTGCTATGAGGAGAGAGCTGGTTGCTATGAGGAGAGAGCTGGTTGCTATGAGGAGAGAGCTGGTTGCTATGAGGAGAGAGCTGGTTGCTATGAGGAGAGAGCTGGTTGCTATGAGGAGAGAGCTGGTTGCTATGAGGAGGGAGCTGGTTGCTATGAGGAGCGAGCTGGTTGCTATGAGGAGAGAGCTGGTTGCTATGAGGAGGGTTCTGAATGGGATTTCCTTTTTTGGGTCTACACTGCTTATTTAAATTATTCGTAATCTTGTTTCAGGAATAGAAGATGTGTTTGGTGACGATGTAGAAGATAGCATGGACTACAGTTCCAGGAAGGTCTCCAAGATGAGGCTACCGCACGAACAAGAGGAGGAGACTAGGCTCATACAGACGGATCTTACTCCTGCTGAGGTATTTCTACCAACTCTTACTTTATCAATATGTAAAACTTTTCTAAACATGTAACATCTCACCAATTTGGCTGTTAAATTTAAACTGCTGAATTGGCGGGCTAGAGGGCGAACAACCCGCGGTGGTATGTTAACAATTTTTATATCCATTGCTTCAACAATGATGCGTCTTACATTTGCAGCAAAGGGCGTTTGATGAAATGGCGATGAAACAGATCAACAAATTGCGGGAGAAGGTGCAGAAAGATGAGGATAGGAAGCGATCGAAGGACTCAATAAACAAGGACGGGGCTAAAGCCTACCTCACTGAAGCCATGGGTTAGTGAATCAATTTAACGTCCACTTGCTAAGATTAACTTTCAGTTTCCCTCCTTTTTAATGTAGGTCCTGAATGAATGAATGGGAAATATTATCATTTAATGGCGACTCAGCCTTAGACTTTTACTCTAACGAGTGCGTACTATTCACATTTCACACCATGGTGAGTGGTGACGTCATCATGGTGACGGCCGGTTCCAAACTGCTACCTAAGACAGACGGAACACCCACTGAAACTATGAATCTATCGTATTGTGTATATTTTACTTAAACTTCCCAATTTAATCTATAAACCAAATTATTTAGATGGCTCGAATAATGACCCGTTTAATTTTCAGCGAGTAAAGACCGGGCCTCAGTGCTTCAAGCCAAAATAAGCCAGCGAATGGCGACCCTGAATTTACCTGGCATAGCCAAAGCTCCTGTCCTGGATAAAGAAGGGAGAACATTGGACTCTTCTGGAAAAGCTATTTCTGTAATCAAACATGAACCTACTCTCAAGGTAAAAGAGCCAAATTTCTGTGTCTTGAACTCATTTATACGCTTAAACCTACTGAAAACCTATACAAGACAGTGATTATGTATACTTGATGTAAAATTTACTCAAGAACGTTCTGCTCAGGTTAATCTTCGAGAGTCAAAGAGGAAAAACTTCAAGATGGAAAAACCAGACGATAATTTGACTGTCACTAACCCATACTTTGATCCTCGAATGAGGTAGAGTTTTTTTTGTTGTTCACGGAATTTTATTTTTATAAATTCTTATTAAATCTGAAAAAGGTGGAAAATAAGTATATTTCGACTTTTGAAGATAACTCTTAGTGCAAAAAACCTCGATGTATGCATGATATATAAATTTTATCTATATATATTCATTATGTAATCCTCAGAATCAAAGGAGCTACTCGTCAGCCAAAAGCCATGAAGTTTAATGAGTCTGGGAAATATATCCAGTTAGCACAGAAGCAGCGCGCCCACAGCAAGTTGGAGGAACTGCAGAAACAAATCGCTGCTACCGCTAAAAAGACCGGTATCTCCACCGTTGCTAAACGCGTTATGCTTAGTGACAATAACCTTTCGGTGAATATTATAATTACTATAATTACCTTATAATTACTTTTTTCAACTTCTTGTGATTTAGGACGTTCGAAGCTAATCTTTTAGCCTCTTTCATTCCTGTTGATCAATGTAATGCTTCAATTAATAATTCTTTTAATTAAAATCATTGGCTGGATTGCCTATCTGTAACTAAGAGTGATAACACCCCAGAAAGAAGACCCTGTCCCGGAGGTAGAATGGTGGGACAAGTTCATCCTGGTGTCCGAGAACTACGAGAACTGCGAAACTCCAGTCTCTCAAGAGGAACTCACTAGATCTGTAGCGTCTCCTAAGTACAGGGAGATAACGCATCTCATCGAACACCCCTTATCTAAACCCCCACCAGGTACACCCCTTATCTAAACCCCCACCAGGTACACCCCCTATCTAAACCCCCACCAGGTACCCTATTGTAATCCAATAATAATCTATTGTCTAGTGTGTAGCGGCAGATATGTGAATATTTGGCAAAAGTGCCTCAATGCCGAATATCACACAAAAATAACTTTTGCGAATATGTTACCATTACCATAGCAACTAAACCACCGGCGACGACCGTGCGGTGTGAAAACAAGCTCACATATACAAAAAACCTCTTTCGCTAACTCTTGTCCTTGACTCTTTTGGGCTTACGGGAACAATTAATAAAGTTCCATTTTGTGCGACCTCCCGAACAAGATATTTTCAGGGGCAGCTGAAACTGCGCCACCCTTGTCTGTTGTGCTGACGAAAAAAGAGAGGAGGAAACTGAGAACTCAGAGGAGGTTGGAGCGACAGAGAGAAGAGCAGGAGAAGATTCGACTGGGTCTCATGCCACCACCACCTCCCAAAGGTACACTTAAAATAACCTCTTTTATCGACAATAATTAAAATAAGTTCCAGTCTATGACATGATCTGTAAGAAGATTCCTCTTTTTCTGGAGCCTTTCTAACATTGTTAACAGAATCAATTCTACAACAGTGCGTATTGCAAACCTGATGAGAGTCCTGTGCTCGGAAGCAGTGCAAGATCCCACAAAAGTGGAGGCCACAGTCCGTGCACAAGCTGCCGAACGTCAGAAAAAACATCAGAAAGCAAATTCTGAGCGACAACTGACAAAGGAACAACGCGGTGCCAAGAAGATGGCTAAACTTTCTGAAGATACTTCTCAAGGCGTCCATATAGCAGTTTTCAGGTAAATATTGTAACTTGTTAATCGTGAGATTGATTAGACATATTGTTTGGTTAACTGAGCCTATACAATAGACTAAAAACTTTCATTTTCCTTCTTATCTCTCTTTACATTCTTTATTGAGCTGGTTCTTAACAAAGCTATAATTTTCAGGATAGACAATCTGAGTAATCCGCAGCACAAGTACAAGGTAGAAACTAACGCTACACAGTTCATGTTTACTGGCCTCATGCTGCTTTCCAAGGATAACAATATTGTTATCATCGAGGGTGGGCCCAAAGGTCTCCGCAAGTTCAAACGCTTAATGATGATCAGGATGAAGTGGGATGAGGACGTGCGAAACAGAAAAAGTGATTTTATAATTTTTTATTTGGGTATCTAACTCCCTTACTTTGAAACTTGAATTTGATGTGTACCATTTATTTCTAATAATATCTAATGGAAATTTATAATTGGTAATGTACTTATTTTTTTACAATGATGAACGTTCAGATCAAGACGATGATAAAAGGCCGAAGAATAAGTGCAAGCTAATTTGGGAGGTAAATATTTGGATTCTAGTTTTTATTGCCGTGAGAAGAACCAAGGTTATGACTAATGTCGAATCTACGTAATCCAATATCATAACTTTCCTTCATCCCTGTTTTAATATCCTGTCCTTGCAGGGAACTCGAAAGACTAGATTTTTTTCAAAATTCGCCACTAAACTTATCACTGGTGATCCGTCCGCTGCCAAAGAGTACCTCGCCAAATACAACTGTCAAAACTTTTGGGACCTCGCCGTGTGCGAAAGTATTGTTTCCGAAGAAGTTTGAGGCTTAATTGCTGGAGTTATGACAAGAATGGATCCCATTTCTGATTTATTACGAACGCTGTGGACCATGAGATCAAGCTATCGTTTTCTTGGAAGATTCTAGGATTTAGTGTTTAACCGTCCATTAAATGGTTACGTATTTTTGTGCTACCCTTAAATTTGCCAAGAGTTTCATATACTGCAAGGCAAAATTTTGATTTGCGACGAGCTGAACATGAACTATTTATATTTTACACATTTATGACTTCTTACATTCAGAATTACAATCTATGATTAAAATGTGATATGTTGTGATTTCATCACAAGGCTTAATTTATTTCTATTTCATTTAGTACTACTAAATATAATTGAAATGCAAAATGTATCGCAATAGAATAAGATGGCATTTAAGAATAAGATTTGATTAAAAAATACACAAAATTGAAAAAAAGCAAAGATGTCACATTCAAAATTGACATAACACAATAGGTTTCTCCAATCATTTTAGGACTTTAAAAACAATTTTCTTTGGTGTAAAATCATAATAACTTGTAAAATTTCGTTTATATTCAGTTGACCACGAATCAGTGTCTCTCGGCTTGTTTTGAGTGCACAGAGCATCGCGAAACATTTTCATGGACATCGGAGGCTGTTTGATCATTAGTGGCTTCTTCTCAACTTCTTTACGGAAACTTTGTAGCCTTTCCCGCTCTTTCTTTGCTCGCAAAGCTGAGGAGTGAACCTCCTTACAATTTGGCTTCACATTATACGTATGGCGTATTCCTTTGTCGTTTCCACCATACATCGCAAACGGAGGATGTTTTTTTGTAATTTGGCTTGTCTGCAAATTGTTAGCTTCATGTGTAGAAGTACTTTGTTGAGCATTCTGCCAAACTACTGGACCTGTGTATTTAGAGATTTGGTGTTTAATGTTGGGCTTAGGTCTCACTGGAGGTACTGATCTTATCATGGGTCGTATCAGTCTCTTCACTATCAGAGACCTTCGTGCATCCTCCGATAACGAATCTTTTGCTCCAGTTTTTAGCGATTCTGAACTTTGTTCTTCGGTCGTAGAGGGAGCTTCAGTCTGTTGCCTATTCTTTTTTTTTCCTTTCGCCGACGATGACTTCTTGTCAATTTCTGATACAGTGGCTACGGTTGCTTCTTTGTTGATCCTTTCAGTCGTGACTTTTATTGTTTGAACATCATTGCAATTTTTATTGACTTTTTTCTCTGGGTCAAAATCTATATGAACCAACCATTCACCCGATTTTTGGGTAGAAGACGAACTTACCACATTCCGTGGCGAAAGATTGGAAAAGCTCTTTTGACAACACTTACAGCTTGGGTCAGAAGCTTGGGATCCTTTTTTGTTGTGATTGACTTCCGAGGCTGAATGAGATTTAGGTACCTGATCTCTGCTCCTTGCTGAGAACTCTCGATCCATATTTACAACAACTTTAGTTGGACTTGGAGGCGGTGATGTTGTACTGTTCGTTCTTACTGCACCATCGATTTTGTTCACATGTAGAACCTTGGGCTCCCAGTTAATTGGCTGATGCCGCATTCCATTCAAAACTCTGTCCTTGCGCTGGTTTGCCAATTGGTGAAAGTTTTTCCGTGCCTCTCCGCTCCATAGAAGTCGTCCAAAATTAGATTCATACTCTGATGTCGCTCTTTCTTTCGAAATAGACATTTATGAATAAATTCTGTTAACTACTTTATTATCACGATGACCAATGACAGGTCCCTTAGACTTAATAAAACGATACAAGCGTGTGATACGGTTGGCATAGACGAATTTTATGCCAAATTAAAGTGAATAAATCGATAAACTCTTCATGATGAAGTAATATAGATACAACAAAAACCTAACGAACGTGCGTATGTACACAACTTGCCTGCAGATTTTATTACATACAGCTGCTCCTTCATAAATCTCAGTACTCTGAGTCTGATTCGGCCGCTGAATTTCAATGAAACTGATACGAATTGAAATGCAATCAAAATATTTCATTTAAATCATTTCGTGACGATCCAGGATTGAAATTATTAATTTAACTTTAAGTTTAGTGAAATGTTATTTTTACGATTTCTGTCAGCTAGAGAGTATATATGATATAATTATATTTATATATAGTAGAGCTGTCGCGCGCACAAAATCAAATATCACCTGAATTTGTGACCTGCTCCGGTTTTTAGTTGATTGATGATTGATGATGTCAACCCTTTCAGATTGCGCGCATACCCATATAATATTCATAACCTCTGTAAAGCACGCGACCTTGCAGTTGCCCTGAACACTTAACTGCACAATTAAGCGGTTCTTTTACGCCCACTTTTCACTTTTGTAATTGTATTTGTATATCTCAATCAGCGTTTAATTGTTAGGATGATGATTAAATTTAACAACCGCATTCAGTGTTATTGGTTATACTTATACGTATACTTATAGTTATATTTATACTTATAGTTATATTATAAAGAAGGACTACTTTTTTACTGTTAGTGTTTAATGACAAATAAAAGAAATATCTTATGAATATGAAATTTGCTCTAATCAAAGCCCTTTCTCTTGCATGTTGCAGTTGCAGTAGCGGCACACTCACTGGATTTTATTATTTTACGCAGTACGCGTAGACTCATGGCTATGTGAAATAAGAAATCATTATAAATAACTTTCATTGTCGTAATATAAATAAGTACAAAGTAGCATCATCAAAACTTTGTCATTTTTGGGGTCGTTCACATATATTTATAATATTACGAAATCACTTTTTGGACAATTTTAACCCCCTCCCACCTCCTTGTATCACGTGGTGACCCCACGGTCGCTTCACTATATATATACGGTCGCTTCACTGTAGCGTCTTCGACGCTACAGGGGGAGCCGCGCACTTCGTGCGCGGCGGGTCATACAACGTATGACAACCACCTCCGTAATCAGTTTTAAACATAGCTTTTGCATATTGTGTCAAAATTACACTATCCTAATCATTTGAAAAGCCCTCCCCATCTGCTGATTACGTTGTACGTAATATGTCAATGTGAACTGTGAACGACCCCTTACCAGTACCACTCACAAGCTTTGAATTACTGGGCCGCGCTCAGCCTGTCATTCCGCCGAATGAACATGATAGCCTGAGGTCCCCAGGTATGCTTTGAAATAATCGGTATCAAAAAAATAAAATAGGAAAATGCTTGTTTTCTCCCACAACAATTTACAAATTCAGTACTCTGGCGTGAAACTGAACGACGGTTGAAATAATGAATAAAATTAAAATCACATTTCTGCATTCTGGCTCCTTTTTTACTCCTTTCAAATATACGTGAACAACCAAAAACAAATTTGTCTTACATATAATATATGTAACATATTATTATTAGATGGAATATTGGAGACGTATCACTATCAGCAATCAGTATCACCATTCACCGCGTAGAACTAGAAGTAGAACTAGAACCAATATGCAATAGTAATAGTAATACCAAATACTACAGCCAAATAGTATTAATATTATTTATTATTAATATTATTAATATTAATATTTATTGTACTAAAAGACAAAATCTCTGAAAGTTTAAAAATCAATTTAGTTTAGCGCTTATCCTTAAATCGAAGTAAGACTAAGACTTATCAAAATCATTTTATTGGATTAAAATGCTTAAAATTTCCTTGGTATTCGGTGACCCACAATCGAATGTCTCTTGGTAAGTCTGTAGCGTCTACATCTTCTTTTTTAAGCTCGCTGGACCCTACTTTTTGAAATCCTATTCCCATACCTTTGGCAGCATTTTTTACTCTATGGTCCCTCAGTTCATGACTTCGAGCAGTTTCACTTTCGCCGCCATATAATGCAAAAGGAGCAAAAGCTTGCTTAGTCGTGACTCCTTTCTTGCACATTTTGGATCCCGTTCTGACCTGAACGTCAGATGACGATATCGGCAATTTGGTGTATTTACGAGAGGCAGAGCTGTGGAATGTGTCACTCGTACTTGGTCTACTTGTCCCATAACTACTTCCAGTTCCGCCAGTGTTAGGTCTACTCCTACCAGTACTTGGTATGATATCTGAAGTCCGACTTGGGGGGCGACTGTAATCCTTGTGTCCACTTAATCTACAACTGGAGGCTGATTTTGGTCTACAAATTGATGATGCTCTGGTATCTGATCTCGAGCCACTACCAGGTTTTCTAAGCCTCTTTCTATCGTCTTCACAAGCACTTGCCGGAGTTGGACTCCTTTGGTTACTAGAACGCTTTAGACTGAGTGAGCTGTCCCTGCCATTATGGTTATCTGCTTCTCTTATGTCGAGAACAACGAAATCAGATGATTGACTTTGCGATCGAGATGGTTTTCCACACCAAGCAGATTTAATCCTACTCGGAGGTTCTGGCCGTTTAACTCCAACCTTCCGATCGGTTAACTGTTTGGATGAATTCTGATCCTGACAACAGCACTTGGGCAGATATTCAGATGATATGCTCTGAATGTCGTCACTTTCTCCGTCCTTACTATGGTCCCAGTGAATAGGTGCATGTTTGGCCGCTTGGAGCATACGTGTTCTCCTGTCCTTACTCAATTGGAAATAATGCGATCGAGTTGCACTGTCCCAGAGCTGACGGTTATACTTGTTATTATACTCTGTAGAATAGTTGGACACAGGCTTCATTATGTCAACTTTATCTAAAACATAGCTAGTCATTGTCGTGGTCAAAGATAAAATTAGAAAAACTGATACTCCCATGGAAGCCGACCTTGTTATCAGTGATGAAAGGAAACAGAGTTGCTCCTTCGTAAACTTCCACATTGAAATCGAAATAGGGTGGTCATAAAACAGATGGTTGAGCCGCGCGATGCACAAAGGATAGGAGCCGTACCAGTTATACATTCACCGGTGGGATCATCCAGCTGACATACCAACGGCTAGGCATGGTCATTCTGAACGATGAGTCCTAATCAGTCATTACTTTTCTGCTCTCATTGGGTATCCCTGCACTGGGCTACCTATACTAGACCGACTGGTAGAGCATATTTCCACTAAATCTCAGAAGGATGGTACGTGAGCGCGAAATTTATCTAAAATTTTGCTGCGCACCTCTTACTTGAGATGACGCTGTGTCTTATTTTGCTAGTACCTAAAGATGTTACGAACTAGGACATGTTCCAGGATTCGACGTCACGAATTATTGCTATATGATTTAAAACAAATGAAGTTACATTATTAATTGATCTGCCATTATAGCAATTGCATTATCAAGATACATCCATACTGATATCAAACCTAAATATTATTCACGAAAATTCGTTAAACTATTTACAGCTGATATTTTAAAACAAAATAGACAAATTCAAATTAAGATTGAAAAAATATTAAAACATGTCAACATCACATCAATTAAGTTTTAGTTTAGATCATGATCAGTTCAGAAAAACAAACATCAGGCGTGCTTCTGTCAGTGACTTTCGAGAGCAGCCGTCATCAAATCATTTTCCATCACTGAGTCTTGACTTTATCCCCCTCCTGAAAAGATTAAAACATTTTATTAACTATCTTAACTACGGCCTGTGTTATTGGCACTAATATATTAATTGTAATACTTTGATTTTAAGGCAGTAAAATTACATGAAACTACTGAAAAATTCAAAGATTTTCACCTCCTCTACTGGAAAATCGTTAGTTTTCTCCGAACCGATAGCTTTGTCAGGGGCCGTCTCCTCCACGGCAGGCCTCCAGTAGCGATCAACTAACGGTTTGATAAACTTAGCGTAGATCCATAGGAATAAAGGGATAACAATACACGATATTCAAACCATCTTCCGTAATCGGTAGGTCTCTGCCCCTTCTCTAAGCGAGGGTTATTCTTGATTTCTTGGCTAAGTGGCAGCGACATCATTAATATTTAGTTAGAAACTTAACAGAATTTGGTAGAAAACATTAACAAGGAATTTATGAACAGATTTAGTAACAATGAAAATATCCGACAATGCATTGAGTAGAGACGCAGAGTTGTATTTCCAATATTGGGGATTCTCTTTAAAAAACTAGGTCGTTTCAATAAAACAAGGATGTAACATTTAAATAAAGAGGTAAAATATGTTCAAACAAAGTAATCATTATTTGTACAATATGTAGGCTCGGTCATTTCGTATGATTATTAGTAATTGATTAAGAAATAATATCATAAGCACGAAAACATCTCTCATTTCATTTTCATCACCATTTTTGCATTTCGTCATTTCAATACTGGGAGTTTTACTCGAATCTTTAACATCAAATTTGGACTTATGTCACAGCGGCCGGTCAGAAAAGCTCAAAGTTAACTTAGCACTGAATATTAAAATAAAGTAAAACTCTGAAACTCTCAATCTCCCTCACTGCTGCTCTCTGAAGACTCGACTCCCTCGTTGACACCGAGCTTGAACCCGTATTCCTGATCACATCCCATATACGAGTCGCACATGAAGAACAGCGTGTAGTCATGTGATCCTGGTTCAGGTGCCATGAACTCCAGCTTCACACTTGCCTTCTGATATAACGTGATACGTTTAATTGAGGTCAAAGTGTTCGTTTTGGTGTCTCCAATTACCACCCACCAGCCCTCCTCTCGTTTTGTTGGAAAGAAAGGAGCGATCACGTGACCAACGACTTCGTCCTCTCTTTCTAGGTCTACTGTTACTGTGACCGGGCCACCGGACTTGATATTGTCCTTGTCTTGAATCTTGTACACTAACTCAATGTTAGGGTAGCGGTTACAGTACCGAGCTAGATCCTGATAGAAGATTATTTTCAGTTAAATCGAACCGGCTAGGTCAAATAACTAAATAATAAAGCAAACAATCACCTTTATTGGGGAAATACAATACACATAAACGATTAGCTGATTAGAAACCCCAGATTCTAAGTTCTAACCTGCATCTTGTTATCAGGTAGCTGAAGAAGTTCATTCCTCTCATCATCCTCCAGATCCATAATATCAAACACACTCTCTACTTCTTTAGTTTCACACCTGAAACAGTTTGTAATCAACATGATATTTCATAATTCATCTGAAGTGAAAGTAACAAATATAGAAGGAATTCGGAGTAGGTATAACCGCCGTTTGAGTGATCGTGTAATTTCTAACCGTTTGATCATTTCGTCAGTGAAATGAGGGAGTTGTTTGAGGTAACTGTCCTTCTTCCACATGGCTTGAGTGCACATCTGTGAGAGCTCCATGGCCGCCAGGGCTGGTCCCAACCAGCCGCTACTTGACAATACGTCTACACACGCCTAAAGACAAAGGAGGGTTTGACTTTTATCATGATAGGAAATGTTGAGATCAAATGCTACCTTAAATAACCACAAGGTAGAAAACTTGAGCTATCACTTGATCATCTATATATTTTTCCATTGGAGAATCCAGATCCAGTTACAAATAACTTGAGATGATAAAAGATGGCCAAATTAGTATTTCTTGAAGACCTTTTTCCTACATAATTACCTGGATGAGTCGGACAGTTCGTTTGAGGATATCATCCTTATCACTCTGTAACTCAGTAGGCAGTATGATTCTAGATAAGTGAGACTGAAGGAGCAGGTTAGCTTTGCAGTGAGGGTCATTGAACTTGTGTCCCTCAGGAAGTTTCTGTGGTATTCTGTTGCTCAGTTGTTTTAAAATGTTCTCCTCGTGATGACGAACTGATAAGGAACTGTATTCTGCTGCCGCTGATATTATCTCTATTATACCTGCAAACACCGAGATGTTGTTAGACTATTTGGGGATATCATAAATAACGAATTAAATAACAGATGCAGACGAATGATAAACATCATTACATTCTGGCTTAATCGAAACGTCAAGATCATATTTTTGAGAATGACAGAAACCTTTCATTTTAGTTTTAGGAGTGAGAGAAAGAGAGAAGAGTTCGATGGTAGTGTAGTTGATGTAATAGTATGCAGCGATCATGCCCAGATTGAGTGGTGTAGTGTCCATGTCGTCCTCGATAGCCAGACACATAGACTGTTCCAGATCATTGAGTGTGTTCTCCACTAGATCAGATAAATGATCCGAAAAGTGGCGATGTGAGGAGCCCTGGTAGAATAATTAGAAGATAATTAGTGAGTAGTATAGACGCTGAGCTCAAACTAATACAAATAACAATACCTCTTATACAAACGCTCTTATCAAAATTTACTCAAATAAAAAAAATTAACCTGTAAGTTGTAGTAATTAGGGTTTTGAGTAAGTCTCCTGTACAAGAAGGTCCAGGTAAGATAGTCCACAGCGTCCTGTTTGTTCTCCACCGTCTTGGTGACCACCTCCGCGTTGAAATGATCATGTAACACGTGATCAAGATGTGACTCAACTGGTAGAGGTTCGTAAAGGAACTTCCTGAAGAACTCCTTTTTGGATCCCTGGCACATTACCACACATACTCCGTTCTGGTCGTGAAGAGGTCTGTTAGCGCGGCCCACCATTTGTAACATGTCAGTTATAGGATAATCCACATAACGGTGCTCTTTGCCGTCGTAGTATTGGGTATCCATGACGACCACCAGGTGGGAGGAGATGGGACTACCCCAGGCAAGCTGTCTGGTGCTCACCATCACCTGAACTGCTCCGATATCAAACAACTTGTCCACAATACTCCGCTCTGTTTCGGGCAGACCTTCGTGCGCGTACGCTACACCATGGGACAGAGTCTCGCACAGAGTCTTATCAGTAAGCTGGTCCAGGTATGGCTTCAAATCGTCTTCTGAACAGTGCAGGAACTTCTTGGGACTTCCTTCTGCAGCTGCAAAAGTAAGTACGTCTATAGCTGTGAGACGGGCTTGTTTTCGGGACGGTACGTAGACTATGACGGGTTTGGTGGGGGAATGTTTGCAGATGGCGTTGTAGACAGGTTTCATCATGCAGAGCAGGCGTGACTGCGCATGTGTGATATGGAACCCGTTAATGTGGAGCTCTAGTGGAACTGGCCGGACGTTGGGGTGGAAGTTGAAGATAGAGTTGGTGTGACAACCCAGCCATTCTCCTATATCCTTAGCATTAGCTAGGGAGGATGACAATGCCACAATACGGATATTCTTCTCAATTTGAGCGCTCATATACCTCATCCTAGTGCAAACAACTTCTAACACAGGACCAACATCACCTCCGATCAGATGAACATCGTCAACAATGAACAGGTCCACATTCTGAACATTCTTCCTCTGCTTCCAACGACGAGACAGAATGTCCCACTTCTCAGCAGTACTTAGGATAATGTTCCCCTTGGCTAAAAGCTTTAGATCTACACTGGTCTCCCCAGTCAAGACTACCACCTTCTTGTCAAGCTGAGATCCGAACTTGTGGCTCCAGTCTGAGTACACTTGATCCACTATATACTGCAGAGGAGCGACATACACGCACCGTGGCTCCTCCTTATTGGAGCACAGACGCAGGATTGCGATCTCTGCACATAACGTCTTGCCTGATCCAACGGGGGCGCCAATAAACGCATTATCATCTGTGTTGTAGAGGGAGTTAAATACTTGTGTCTGAATGGGGTTGAGGTAAGAGAAACTATCTTTGTAAAGGTTCTCAAACTCTGGATTTCTGAAAACTCCCACAGGGAGAGGTTGAAGATCTAGCAGTTCTGTGGGGGGAAGGTTCTTCTCTGGTAGGATGAGATGTCTGAAGGAAACAGGGAGTTGTGTTTCTGCGTGGAGCCACTTATCTGACACGATTCTGATGAAATAATGAGGGGGCAGGGGTTCAAAAACTGGCACAAAGAACTCCACGATATGGTCCTCTCCGACGTACTTAGATTTGAGCAGGAAATACTCGCTGTGAAGGATGATCTCGTTATCACAGTCTTCTACCATAATCCAGAACGCTTCAGACATACCATGGACCTTCTCCTCCCACTGGAAGTCAGGGGTGATAGTTAGCTCGACTCGGAGAGTGGACCTGGTAATTGGTTGAATGTGAGTTGATAACTCCATCTTTGGAAACAAGTGGACTAGCTTGTGGATGTTGTTGCCAAGTTTTGGCATCCTGATCAATTCGCCTAGCTCGGCTGGTGTCAGATCGTAAAATCTGGAAAAAGTGAAATACTTCTTCTCAATCTTCTTCACCACTTCGTCTGGCAGTTTCTTGAACTGTCTGAGAGGAGTCATACTCAGCCACATTCTCTTCTCTACCATCTTACAGAGGTTGAGAGCGTGTTCAGCGAGCTGCGCCCACCCTCTGTGCAGCACTATCTCGTAGATAGCTCTCATGAGACGGTTAGCAGAGCTTGTTATGTAGACCATGTCCGTGGCCAGGGAGAAGCCCTCTAGTTTCAATTGAGAGATGTGGGATTGTAGCAACACGTTCACTTTACCACTTGGCTCCTCGATACTTTCTTTGATGGGAATAGGAACTCTTTCAATGAGTTTAGCTAGCTCTAACTTCTCCTCCTCACGCACTTGAATGTGTCTAAACTCGCTGCTCAGGGAGAAAACTCTGAACAGCTCGATTTGACTGAGAGTGGATTTGAGTAGACTGTTGTAAGTAGCAATGCTGTCGTTGGTTATATAATAATGACTGGCTATTCTGCCGAGATCAGTAACCATGAAGTTACCAGATCTCCTGTCGTACTTGACAAGGTTGTTTTTGTCCAGCAGAGCGGCAGCCGTGTGAATCAGATCAGCGCGACGCTGTTCCAATGTAGGGTCGTCTTTGAGAACATCCTCAGTCATACCGTACAGGGTGGGGTTCCTTAACATACGAATGTAGAGGTAGGTGTATCCTAACCAGTGTACCGCTTCCTTGGCGTTCCTGATCGTACCCAACACGATCTCAGCGTTCAGATTGTCAGCTAGTTTCTTGATAAACTGACTCTCAATAGGAAGCTGCTGGTTGAGAAGTGAGAGGTAGTACTGCAGCTCATTATGACTTGTGATCAATGTTCCCTGACCTCTGGAGTCGTGCTGAGGTCGCCCAGCTCGTCCGAACATCTGCAGGATATCTAGAGCTCCTAACTCTACCCATTTACCCTTCTCAGGACTGTAGATCTGGGTTCCTTTGATGATGACAGTGTGAGCAGGCAGATTCACTCCCCAAGCTAGGGTCGAGGTGGACACTAGAACCTGAATATGACGGTCATCAAACAGATCCTCTACTAAAGTACGATCTATCCTGGTGAGGCCGGCGTGATGAATAGCAAATCCGTAGGGCAGGATATCTTTCAGATCAGGACTCTTACATCCCTCCGCTTCAGTTCTCAATACCTCAGTGCTGGCAGAACCCTCTCTTAGGAACATTCCGATCGTGTCATTCTCCAGCGCCATGTCTCTCAATGCTTTGGCTGTTTTGGCGGTCTCTTTTCGAGAATGGACGAACACGAGAACCTGATGTTTCCCTGCGTTTTCCATCACCTTTTCATATAACGTATCATTCACCAGCTTCCATTTCTTAACAGCCTTCTTCTCTGTCACTCCAATGAAGGTTTGATCAAGAGGAACAGGTCGGAAGCTATTATCAAAGTAATGGAGCCCAGTCTCGAGGTTCACTCTCAAGAAAGCGGCCACATCCTCATAATTGGGCAATGTAGCAGATAGACCGACTAGTCTAACCAACTCCTGAGTACTCTCTATCTGCCTGATGGTACGAGCCACAATGGACTCCAACACCGGACCTCTGTCGTCGTGAAGTAGATGGATCTCGTCCATGATGATGAGAGACACCAGCTGAGTGTAGGTCCTTTCTCCGGCTTTCCTTGTGACAATGTCCCATTTCTCCGGGGTGCAGACTATAACCTGCAATGAGAGGCAGTTGTCAGAGTTGAGTTTACGGGAAAGTGTGAAAAGTATGCCCAGTTTAGCAGCTTAATAATGCTCGAGCCAAAGAAAAAAGATTACAAATATTTTAGAGTAAGCCTAAAATGGCGACCAAACAGTCAATTTGTTCGAAATCAAGTTAAGGATTGAGATTCATTTACCCTCATTTAGAAAGAAGACGGTATAAAGATGAGCAAGCCAAAAGAAGTAGTTTTACTGGGCGGTAAACTGGGCACACTTACTTTCGAATAGAAAACTCAACAGTTTAGTTGAGAAGATTTGACTTTTCAGCATTCAACTAATGTTCATTTCACCTGAAATCAGATAAAACGTAAAATTTAAAAATGGATCCATTTTCCTGCTCCATATGAAAGACACATAGTGTTTGTGCTCAAACCTTTAAAGAGTAAAATCTACTAGACAACATAATATGTTAACAGTTTGTTCAAGCCTTCATTACTGAAAGAGGAATGTAGTCCTGAATCAGTCCAAGGAGGTTAATTTGTTGTAGGCTGACTTTGATATGGATTACCCGATAAGATAACCCACTCAGAGGTACAGCCAATTTGGGCGATTTAATTTTTTAAATAAGTTTTTGAAAACGTATAATATAATCAATAGAGCAATCTCTCCACTGCACCTGTGTTTCATTAATCTGCTCCCGGCTGAGGTTGTGATCTCCGGTCAGCTCGTTCACTTGAATCCCGTAGGGTTCGAGAGCTTTACCAAAATTGCCAACCATCTCTTGCACCAGAGATCTCATGGGCGCGATGTAGACAATCTTAAACTCGTCTTTACGGATGGTGCCGTCTGTGTTCATGTGTTTGCCGATCTCCCGCACCATAGTCAGAACAGCTATGTTAGTTTTACCTGCACCAGTGGGAGCACAAATCAGCAGGTTCTCATCTCTCTCCAGCGCTGCCTCCTTCAGTCGACTTTGTATTCTATTGAGTGCCGAAAATCTTCTGAACGGTTTTTGAGCCCAACTTGGTAACTCCTCTATTTTGACTAGCTTCTCGCCGTCAGAAAATGGTTTTGGCTTGTAAGCTGGAACATGAATTTCTTCGTATCCTTTTTTCTGTTTACGGAAACTACCGTCTGGTAGAAGGCACTTCTTATTTGCCATCAGGTGAGAGCCTTGTTCGAATGACAAATCTTTAAGGTCGAGCACAGCTTTGGGTTTGATCGCTGAGGAGAGATCCTCGTCCATATCTACATCCTCTTCTTTTTTTCCCTCTTTTTTCGTCTGCCTTTTAACGACCTTGAAAATAATGGGAGAATGAGAAGATATAAAACAGGAGATATATTCTTAGCTGAACTTAATGCGAATAATAAAACAACTTATTGTTGACCCCACTTTTAAACGTACATTTGTCTTGCTGCTATCACCCAACAGCTCGTCTAGAATTGTAGATCCAGCAGGCGTGGATCTCATCTCCTCCTCGATCTCGTGACGCTCTTTCTCCGTCTCTGCACGTGCGCGCAGTGTGCAGTACAAGATTAGCTGCTTGTTCTGTCGCACTAACTTGATCACATTGAAGAGATCGTATCCTAGTAACAGGACCAGCTTTGTTTCACACTCGCGGTCGTCTGTTGTGGTTTTGAGAATGTTCAACACACGCTCTGCTTTTTCCTGAAAACATCTTAAATTAGTTAAGCTGCGTAGGATTTAGCCTCTGACATTCAAATTTCAACAGCTCAATGTTAAGAAAATGTTAAAGCCTTCATTACTGAAAGAGGAATGTAGTCCCAAATCAGTCCAAGGAGGTTAATTTGTTGTAGGCTGACTTTGATATGGATTACCCGATAAGATAACCCACTCAGAGGTACAGCCAAAATCGAACAGTTCACAGCTTCAGGTGCATACCTGGGAAATATCAGCGTCATTGTAGTGTTTATTTAGGACCCTCTGGAGCCAGAAGGCATCAACATCGCTAGGCTTAACAGTCTCCGCAGACCCACCCTCACTACCTTCCAGAGCTGACAGATTAGCTCCATCTTTCGCAGTGTCCAACATTGGCTGTTCGTCATCCGAACCTGCTGCTTCGTCCTGTAATATAATTCTCGTAATATCTCCAGACCAGTGAACAATTTAACGAACGAACGAACAATTGAACGAACAATTGAACGAACGAACGAACGAACGAACGAACGAACGAACGTGCCAAAATGGGCAAGCTTCTCTCCTCACTTAAGATCTCCACATCATTTTACTAACCTGAACCTCGTCGAGTTGCGCATCTTTATCCTCATCCTCGTCAAACACAACAGCTACTCCGTACATCTCATCGATAGCATCTTCTGTCTTGTCCTCTTTTGTACCGTAGTCTGTTAACTTCTCCACAAGATTCTCTAGCACTGAATACCTGGGAAAACATTGTATTTGTGCTCAAACCTTTAAAGAGTAAAATCTACTACAACATATGTTAATATTTTGTTAAAGCCTTCATTACTGAAAAAGGAATTTAGTCCTGAATCAGTCCAAGGAGGTTAATTTGTTGTAGGCTGACTTTGATATGGATTACCCGATAAGATAACCCACTCAGAGGTACAGCCAATTTTAATGAACATTTCTGCACAGCCACCTATATTGGGTCGTATTTTCTTCCAAAACACAGTTAGTACTTTTGTACGAAGTAGTGGGAATGCTGTCATTTCCCAGAATAAACAGTTAGTACATGGTACTAAGGGGGGTGTCGTGTCCAACCCCAAAAAACCCATTTTACCTCAAATTTCAATTTTTATCTAATTCGACTACATTGAAAACAAAACCCCTACTAAATAGTGGGTATAATTTGCCCATTTTCCAATGTTTAATGAGCTGTTTAAACTTTTAAAGCAACTTATGGGTGGGTATCTTATTTTACATACCAAGAAACAGTTAGAACCGCAAAAGCCGGCAAAAGTGGTGGGTGTCTTAATTATTATCAGAAAAAACAGTTAGTACCGCAGGCGGTGTGTGGGTCTTTTGAAAAATTCCAAAATTACACTTAGTCGACGTCACGTCCAAAACTAAGTACCAGACCCCTCTCCCCCCCCCCCCCCCCCCCCCCCCAGGTCAAGATTCATGCGAGATGGCGAGCTAGGCTCATCGCACAAAATTTGTAAATAAACACAGAACAAAATTAACAAGAAAATAAATAAGAAAACAGAAAAAGTTGAATTTAAAAGTTGAGGGACACAATAATTAGGTACTTAACATGACGTGCGATCATGTGTATTTTATCACTTGTTTATATTGCAATTGTGAAAACTTCAACGTAACGGCGCGCAAGTTTTGTGCGAGATTTTTGCCAGTTTCGTTTAAATCTCATCGCTAGGCTCACGATATCGCGAGCCTAGACGCGAGATTTAGGCATGCTTTTCAGCACTGTAAAATTAGCAGAAACGCGCGAGTATAAGTATATAAATATTACATCACTGCATATGACCACATGGCGTGGCTGGCTAGCACGTCAACTGAGAGGCTGAAGGTCAAGAGTTCGAACCTCACCGAAGCTATTTGAACGCCAGTTTTTTAAAAACAATTATGAAGAACTAATAATTCCTCGGAGCTCGGTAATATAATCAGCAAAGCATAATACAGTAAGGTATGGGATTTAGGATGACACATTTTCCGGCCGTTTAAAAAATATATATACTCCTTACATACTGGACACCTAGTCACTTTTAAACTTTATGCCATGGGAATTTTATTGGTCATTGATCTTTTGGTCTTGATTGTTTCTAATTATTGCATCTAACAAGCCAGCGAGACCGATTGAATGTTAACAAAGCCAGCTCTAGGTCCCTTGTATGCAGTTGTCTAACTTAGACAGTGCAGAAAATATGGGCACGAAAATGCAAATTTGTTGAAATCAAAAGAGGCCTATTTTTATGACCATCGACCTTTATATTGAAGAAATATGGTGGTTGGAGGCCCAGAAACTCGATTTTCGGCATTTACCCGCCTGTTTTCGGAGGGCGGGAGGGTCATTTTTGACTGTTTTTACCGAAAAATGGCCTAATTTGTATCATTATAATCTATAAAACCCTAATGAATGTTGATTATAATTGACAATATAGGTAGGATAAATGATTTCAGACATCTAAAGATTATCTGGAGAACCCCAGGGTGCCCGTATCCATGGAGACGGGCCGTTTTGAAAAAATGAAAATAAATTTAGCTAAAATTTGACCTTTTACCCCTTTTAACCATACAAACACCCTACCTATATTGTTCTACCTATATTGTCAATATAATAATCATCATTCATCAGTAACAATAGGGTTTATAGAGATTATAATGATACAAATTAGGCCATTTTTCGGTAAAAACAGTCAAAAATGACCCTCCCGCCCTCCAAAAACAGGCAGGGAAATGCCGAAAAAAATGGGCCTTTTCTGATTTAATGACATGGCCCAAAAATATTATCATTCTTGCACCCCTAACCTTGACTATAATGCAAGGATGGTAAATGCGTTTTGGGGAGACTACGCGTAGGTACTACGCATACGTATTTCCCGATGATAAATTACGTATTTCAAATTAAGTTGCAGTAACGCGCGAAGATCTATATATAAATATTACATTACAGTATATGGAATCGTGGCCTAATTGGTTAATACGCTAGCTCCATATCATCAGATTGCGAGTGCGAGACTCGGATAGGATCATTTTTTCCCATACTTTTTGGCAATTATGAATAACTAATGAATAACTAAAAATACCTCTGTAATATAACTAGCAAGGTGAAATGAAATCGTCATCCGGCCGAAAAATTTATTATAGCCGTTTTAAAAGTTTATTATAGCCGTTTTTTCTTTCCAGGCTGGATTCCTAGTCACTTTTTAAACTTATGCCACTGGGAAGTCCGTGTTAATCCGGTAACCGGTTTCAAAATTCAAGCAAGAGAGACTTGTGATCTTAGTCTGCGAATATTGTAATAGATAAAAATGCACTGGAACTGGGTCTCGGTTGAAAGTCTATTCCTCGAGGGAGGCATAACTGCTTTATAACCTGAGATTTGAGAAGCTCTGCTCTGCAGCAGACTGACTGATTGGTTGGTTCAGCATAAGAATAGCAAGTCGCTGCAGCGTTTTCATTCGAGCACCGTGAAGTCTCCAAAACGACTGTCAGTATTGCTATATTAATATACAACTGTATTGGGCCAGCGACGCACGCGCAAATATCACTAATCTGTAATCACGTATTTCGAAAGAGATACGCGCGTATTTTGAAAAATTTTACCATCAAAGAATTTAAGCGCCAAATTTTGCCGTATTTCACGTATTTCTTAGAATTTTTGAATACGGCGTATTTACAGGCGATTTTTTGACGTATTTACCATCGATGCTATAATGACCTGCTAACTTTTAATACCCAGGATATGCTCATGCAATCACTTTATACAAAATAAGTATTTTTCGCCACTGCACGTGACACGTGACAATCGCACTTTCAAATGGCCAAAATCCAGTCTCATCGCACTTTCTCAGGAATCTTGATAGGCCCCCCCCCCCACCGATCAAACAGAGTTCAGTTACCCGATAAGGCTCCTCGAAATCTTTTGCATTCTACAATAATAATAATTTTTATCAACATAAAGCCTGGACTAGAGTTGGATATCTCAGACACGAAACTAACCATCTCACTGCCCCCGGCCCCCCCCCCCCCCCCACCCCCTCCCCCGGCTCCCCTTTATCTGTCTTCCACCTTACCTGTCTTCGGTAACGTCTCCCAGGAGCTCCTTAATCTCATCAACTTTCTCCGCTTTGGAATTGTTCATCTGCTTCATACTGATCAGAACCTCATCAGCTGCCCCTAGGAGGATATCTCGAGGCTGCTCACCGATATACGACTGGACGAAACTCAGAACCACCTGCAACAACATGTGTGACACTGTGTATGTATGTGATTTTAACTACTGTTTATTGGGCGAACACCTCCGTAAGAAAGTTAACACAGAGTTAGCAAGTTAACACAGAGTTAGCAAGTTAACACAGAGTTAGCAAGTTAACACAGTGTCGGAATTTCTCAACCTCCTTCCCCCTTATCGGTACTGATGAAAAATCGCTGAGTTTCATTTTAGAGTTCTACTTTACAAACCTCGAACACCCCTTTAGTTTCTCTAGTTTTGGGATGATAAGATAGCCCAGTGAAGTCTGACTCATCTACAGTGGAAAGTAAACCAGTTGCCATAGCAGCGAGTTCTTTCTCATCTTCGTCTCTTTTCTGTCTCTTTGCTGCCTATGATTTTGTTTAGTTAGTAACAAGCCGGAGGGGTTCAGGACTTGTCAAAATAAAGCACTCTAACCAATGCAATAGACTTCAGAAACTATTGATAAGATTGTTAAAGCCTTCATTACTGAAAGAGGTTTGTAGTCCTGAATCAGTCCAAGGAGGTTAATTTGTTGTAGGCTGACTTTGATATGGATTACCCGATAAGATAACCCACTCAGAGGTACAGCCAATTTTAATGCATATTTCTGCACAGCTACCTATGCTGGGTTTCCACTAAAGCACTTATTTACAGCCATGGTGAGCCACGTAATAAGGTGTAACATAGCTGGGTAGTTACCTTCTCAGAGGAGATTTCTGGAGCAGTGGTTCTCATGAACCTATCACCCATTTTAGAGGTGTGAAGTTTGCCGACCAGGGACAGAACCTCGCCGGTAGCCTCATCCCTACCTCGGCGCTCTATCAAGGACCGGTCAGCTTGGAGTACAAGGTTAGAGTTAGCCTTGTACTCATATTGAAGCGACCTGGCAGTTTCGTCTGCCATTTGGCCTATTGTTAGGTAGGATAGGTTAGTAAGGTTAACTGTGAACAATATCAATTTAGATATCATGTATGGAATAAGTGTATTTATTAGTGTACAAATTTCGGGAATTTAAATTCGTTTGTCATTTTCCAGATTAGTGATAAAGAAAGAAACAAGAGATTTCTCATAAATAAAATAAAAAACATCACATTATTCAGCAGCCATAGCTTCCTCCTCTGTAATTTTACCCTTGTCTGTCTTCTTCTTTGACCTGTCTTTCCTTTCGAGGATTGCTCGTCTGTCCTTATCAAGCTTCAGTTTTGAAATTTCGACTTTGGAAGCACTAATACCAACAGGCACTGTTGTTCCGTTAGCCTTTTCTCGCTGGACTCGCTCAACATAGATAACCCATCGTTTTCTGTATACACTGATAACTTTAGCTAACTGCTGGCTTTTGTACTGACCACGGGTAATCTGGACCTCATCATCTTTTCGAATAGGCATGCTCCTCACGTTGTATTTCTGTCTGAGTTCCTTAGACAATGGAGCAGTCATTAACTTTCTCCTGATGCTTGATGGCGCACAAAAGTGGGCTTTCCTTTGCTTCCTCCTGGAGCTTGAGACATGAGCATTGAACTTCATAATGCTACCTGAAATTATGTAATTAATATCATTTGCCAAAAAGTTGTTTGACATAATGTACAAGTCATACAATTTCATTAGAAATTGTGCTTTAGATATAAAATAAATTATCTCTTCCAAACAGAAAGTTGTAGATAAGAACCAAAGAAATGGAGCTGGATATTACAGGGTGCCCACAAGTTCGTTTGCTAATGTTTGGGCTTATAATCTAGCAATTTTACATGTATTAAACTTGTTTTTGCTTTACACGAATGGCATACTTTCACATTCAATTCTAGATTATTGGACACCCAAATTTGCATATGACCAAACAAACTTTTTCCCCGGCAACGCTGGTCCAGCACGCAACTGCCAATAAAATGATAAGCTAAATATAAAAAAGTTGGTTTGCATCACAGCACATTGAAATAAATTTTCGTGCACATACAGAATGAATGGTTAATAATTTAATATATATGTAGACCAAGCTCTGTGCACGGGATGCTTCCTGGAAGAATCCAGTTCTTTTAGCGGGGCACCCTACCTAAAGCCAAATTGCGATATAATAATCATATTCCTAGGGAAATAATCAGAAATCGAATACCAATCAAATAATATGATATAAATAATAATAATAATTTAAACTTATAGATTATAGTGGCACAACAACTTAAAATGCACAGGTGTGCCACGAAAACAAGTCAGGATACAAGAAAACCTGAAAAGCAATCCACATTTAGGTTCCAAACCATAGAAAATTGTAAAGACTTGATACACTAAATTACAAGGTTAAGGGTATGCACTTAACAGTAGAAACGTTGAAAAAATAGTAAATTAATTAATATCAAAAGCCCGTTTAAAAAGAAACGTTTTCAGATACACTTTAAAAGATTCCAGTGACATGCAATTCTTGATTTCAAGAGGCAGCTCATTCCATAATTTAGGGCCAACTTTCTGAAACGATCTTTCTCCATACTGTGAATATACTCTAGGTTCAGTCAAATAGATAAGATGATTATAATTGGCATATTTAAACATATCAATTAAATAATCTGGTCCCATACCATTAAGACATTTATAGACAAGAAGCAATAACTTATATTGAATTCTGTAACTAATAGGCAGCCAATGAAGGTCTTTCAGAGTGTCTCCTAGATGATCATATTTATATAGTCCTACTATAGCTTTAGCAGCTGCATTCTGAACGAGTTGGAGTTGGTGGATGAGGTTGTCACTAATTCCATAATAAAGAGCATTGCAGTAGTCCAATTTGCAGACAATGATGCTGTTAATCATAAGCTTGAGCTGAGCTTTACTAAAGAGATATTTTCTCCTTATTACATTCCTAAGGAGTCTGAAACAATGCTTTTTGAGGGACATGATTCGAGGCTCAAAAGTAAGATGATGGTCAATTTGAACACCAAGGTTCTTTGTTGTGCTGACAAATCTGATACAGGTATCATTTGATAGCTTAACTCCCCCTATACTGACCTGGTTTAGAACTTGAGGTGAGGCGATGATAAGTATTTGTGTTTTTCCAGGATTAAGTTGAAGGCAATATTCAACCATCCAGCGCTGTATGGTCCTAGCGCAATTCACAATTTGGATGCCCAGAACATTTACCTGATCACAAGGTTTGAAAGTTTTATATACCTGGTGGTCATCTGCATGTCCTTGCACATTGAATCCAGATTTCTCGATGGTCCTATACAGAGATCTGATGTATATGTTGAATAGCACCGGTCCTAACACAGAACCTTGAGGTACACCAAATTCTAGAATGATCGTATCACTAGTAGAAGAGCCTATTCTGGTTCTTTGAGTGCGGCCTACCAGGAAACTCTTGAACCATTTAAGAGCAGTACCTCCGATATGGATCTCTTCAGAAAGAATTTTGAGTAATTTTCTGTGTTCCACTGTGTCAAAGGCTGCAGATAAATCGAGCATCATGAGAACAGTGGAGGATTTGCTATCACATGCCAGCAGTAGGTCATTTGTTACTTTTAACAAGATGGTCTCAGTAGAATGGAACTTCTTATAGGCAGATTGCTGTGGAACATTGAGATCATTTTTAGCCAGATGTTCATTTAACCTTTTCAGCACAACTCTTTCGATGAGTTTACCCAGAAAAGAGAGGTTAGATATAGGTCGATAGCTCTTGAAGTCATTTGGATCAAGTTTGTGGTCCTTGATGGTAGGAATAATGTCAGCAGTCTTCAAACCGTCGAATGTGCCCTTAGCTAGAGACTGGTTGACCAGTTTGCACAAGACAGGAATGAAACTTGTGATATTGTCTTTGAGGACAGTTGTTGGAAGAAAATCAGATGGTGCACACTTGATTCCACTTTCTTTGATTATTTCAGACAGCTCATCCTCTGTGCATGGTTCAAATTCATATAACCGACCTTCACAGTTAGAATTGTTCTGTTGATTCATAATGTGTTTATCAACATCAAAATCTTCTATGCTGGGGAAATCTTTCCTAATGTTCTTGATCTTTTCATTGAAATAGTGATTAAAATCACTGCAAAGTTTTGAAACATCTTCTGATTCTGGGAGAGGAGTATTCTGATGTCTGTCAAGCTCACGATTGACAATGCTATATATAGCTTTAACATCATGTTGATTTTTGTCAAGTAAACCTTTATAATATTGCTGTTTTTTAAGATTAGCCATGTTTGTTGTTTCATCTCGGATCTCTTCAAAGAGTATCCTGTTCTCCTCACTTTCATGCTTAGTTCTCTCGGCTTTCCTTCTAAGTTTCCTTTGATCTTTGTACTCAGAATCAAACCAGGGAGCATGGGGAACAAAGCTTATAGTCTTTTGGACCAAAGGTGCATGTTCATCGAGGACACTACTAAAAATTGTTCACAAGATTCAACAAAGCAGTCTGCCAATTCATAGTCAGAGGAACACATCAGTAAATCAATTGCCAACTGATCACAATCCACGGTTTTAAGCTGTCTAGTGTTGATTGTTTTAGGAGCTTTGAGGTTAGTTTGAAACTTCTTGGTGGAAAATATGATGGGGAAGTGATCACTCAGGGTACAGTTTTTCAGGATTTCAATTGTAGACATTTCAATCAAGTTACTCTGGTCAAAGAGCAGGTCAATAGTTCCCCCACTCATGTGGGTCGGATTTTCAATAAGTTGCTTGAAACCATAAGATGAGGTGGTCTGCAGCAGTTCAGTTGAGTTTACAGTAATTGACTCTGTGTGAATATTGAAATCTCCTCCAATTATTAAGTCACTTTTCAGACTTGCAGAACCCAATAAGTCATCGAGTTCCTCAAAGAACTTCTTTGAGACAGGGCCAGTTCGATAGATGCATAGGACAAGGATCTTCATGTCAGGAGTGCACTTTATAGATCCAGCGATGAATTCAAAGGTTGTCAGGTTCGGAACTTTCAAATTAACAACAGAGAAATGTAATGCCATGTTGTAAATCAGAGCGGTGCCACCACCTCTGTTGTTTGCTCTGAAATCATGAACAATACTGTAGCCATATGATTTTATAACTGCTGTTGTAGTATTGGCTTGGTCAGATAACCATGTTTCAGTTTTGATTGAAATAAATTTTCGTGCACATACAGAATGAATGGTTAATAATTTAATATATATGTAGACCAAGGTCTGTGCACGGGATGCTTCCTGGAAGAATCCAGTTCTTTTAGCGGGGCACCCTACCTAAAGCCAAATTGAGATATAATAATCATATTCCTAAGAAATAATCAGAAATCGAATACCAATCAAATAATATGATATATATGAGTAGTAACCATATTTACTATGCAAAATGCCCCAACCACATAGTGTAAATTTATATAGAATTCAAATTCCATATCATCATTAAACCTCAATACCTAGTCAATATAATAGCCCAAGCAAAATTAAATAACTTCTTATGTACCTTACTGTCATACTACAAATTAATTAAACATTTGAAATCTGTTGACCAGAGAATAAATTTCTAAGCCTAATGCAAGTGAAATAATTTAGATGCAATAATGAATGCCTAATGTGAGTATCATTTGTCAATGTCCTTGTAAAAAAGTCTGTACAAGAGATATGAGTAACTAATATAGAAGAAAAAACAGGAAGTTGTCGTCTGTTGTAAAATAAATAAAATATCTAGAATATAAATTAGAATATAAAATAACATTCAGTCAATGTGTCGTCAATAAACTGTACAATTATCAAATGTTAAAACTGGGTGATACAGTCACCAAAAATAAATACTAAGTATGATAAGTTAATAAATTAAATGTGGTCTATAAAACTACCACTAAGTATAATAGGTCAATAAATTAAAAGTGGTTTATAAAACTACCACTGTGGGAACCCCTTCTCCAGTTAAAACATGTCAGTCATGTGCAAAATCAATCAGAATGGTAAGGTGGTAAAAAAGGGAATATCTTTTCGATACATCAATTATATAATATGCCTCAGATTTAAAAGAATTAGAAGTTACTTAGTTATCGTCGACTATGATTGCAGTGTAAAATTTGTCATATGAATTGTCGACGGTATAATTAGGGTCTGTTGTTATAGATGATAGTAGCTGTTTCTTATACGAATCACTAAAGCTTTTAACATCGGGCAGATTTCGTAGATCTGTTGGAACATTATTCCAACATTTTGCCCCCAAGTATTGAAAGTTTTTATGTGATGTTGATCTATTGACATAAAGGTTGCAGCTTTCGCCGCTCCTACTACCTCCTGATATGTAACTAAATTTGTTCATAAAGTTTGTAGGACAATTGTCATGGATGATTCTAAACATATAATTTGACAGATGGAGTTGCCGTCTAAGATGGAGTGGTAACCATTTCATGTCTCTATAAACATTAAGGCTGCTCTCTGTTTTTGGAACGTTGAGAGCTATTTTGGCTACCTTTTTGTACAGAGTGTCAAGTTCAGCAAGTTTTGTCTTGCCAGCTCTACAATAGATCGTGTCTAAATAATCGAATTGTGGCAACATGAGTGCATTGGCAAACATTTTCCTATATTTAATGGGTAGCAGTGCTTTACTTCTATACATGGCACCAATTCT